GCCAATCGGGAAGTCCGGGCGGTGTCGCAGCACCTTCCCACGGATCTCGTTGTAGATCTCCGTGGTTACATTTGCAGACGCCACCGCCACGGCGTCCTGAAAGGCAGCTGAACCCAAGAACCATTCCGCCCCTTGAGCTCGGGCGATGCTGACAGAGCGTGCGTGAGAAGCCTTCAGCTCGTTCAGTGCCTCCCCGGCAACAGTTAGGTTTCGGTCGGCCTCGGCGACCAGGTGCTTAAGGGACTCCAGCTAGTGCTGAGTGCGGTCCCTGTCGGCCTCAGCCTTCTTTGCCCGTTCCTCAACTCGGGCGGCTTCCTCCCTGGCTGCCTAAATCCCGCTCTCCCTTTCAGCACGGGCGCGCTCCAGCTCCTCCTTGAGCTCGTTGTTTCTGCTGGCGAGCTCATCCGCCCGCTCTCTGTAGCCGCAACTCGGTTCGCCATTTCAGAACCTTGCAGACGATTCACATCGTCCACAAGGCTAGCCTTCTCCGTGGCCAGCTGCTTGCACTTTAAACCGAGCTCGCGATTCTCTGTACGAGCCCTCTGCTCGCTCTCGTACAGCGCTACTGTGTAGCTGAATGCCTGCCAAACAGTGGTTACTGTTAGTCTCTTCAAAGGAAAAGAAAAGCATTCAAAAAGGTACGAGCAGATACTTACATCCATTAGCTTTATCATGGCGACCTGACCGCCATGCTGCTACACAAAAGCTTTTGCCCGCTTAATATCCAGAGGGGGCACAAAACTGTGCATACCTTACACCATGGCGGGCTGGCACTCCACCCGCACGTAGCTGAAGCCCTCAGGATAAGCAATCCTGGGGCCTGACGTCGAAGCTGATGTAGAGGCGGGCTCGACTGCTGCCCCCGCAGTCGCTAACGGTGCGTTAGGAGAACGCACGGTTGCAGGATGGGCCGCCTGCGCGGGCTCAGTCCCCCCGCTTATTCTGCGCCGAGCAAGGGGGATCTCATCTTCCTCGCTTTCGGTCTCCTCCCGTGCACGTCTACGTGCATTAGGAGCTGCAGCCTCAGCTCTGTGCTCTGCTCGGGGCCGTGACGTCGAGCTGGATCCTCGGTGTGATGAGCCGCATGATTGAGGCGCTGGGGGTGGCCGATCGTCAAACCGCGTTTGCCTGGGTTGCCCGCTGCTAGCCCCGCGACCTCGTGAGGCTTGGGCCCGTTGTCGTTGGCGTTCTAAGATGCTGCTCATTTCTCCTGCACAAAAAAATGTATAAGACTCAGCTCGGCTAGAATTAGTACTATCTAATAAAAGTATACCTTTTGCAAACAGGTTTGCCACGTCGACAAACCCGAACACGGCGAGCTGCTCTGAGGTAACCAGGGCGTCAAGGTCTATCAGATTCTCCCCCCTTGCATAGTTCAACAGCTGATTTTTGAGGTCTGTGTCCCATGGCAGTAATTGCGGGTAGTTGACGTGTGCATTGGGCACACGCCACTCAGACAGCCGGGCAGCGAGGTCGTTGCTTATCCTCTCTGTTCGCGTGTCGCGAACAAATATGAATTGCCTCTTCCACCTCGCCACCTTGTTCCGGACATTCTTGAACAATTGGCTCTTGTCTCTCCCGGAGAGGTAGTACCACTTCGCGCCTCGGGAGTTGGGACACAGTCGGCATTGAAACAGCGACCTGAACATGATCGCCTTGGCCGGTACCTCCAACCTCGCACACAACAGCATAAAGCCTATTATGAACCTTATGCTGTTGGGCGTCAGCTGCGTCAGAGCGAGCTCGTAATCCGCCAGCAAGTCGAATACCAAACCAGGCAGGGGGAATCGCAGTCCGGCCTCAAAGTGATCCGCGTACACGGGTATCTAGCGCGTCTGGGATACCATGCACACCCTCTCGCTCTTGGCTCCAGTCCGGAGCAGGATCGTTCTGGGGATGTGGTGCGCCCTCACCATCTCCTCCAATCTCCTATATCCACTTATTGAGGGCGCACAATCCGCTACTTCATGATGTAGGGCGGCCCGGAACCTAAATCCGGCGGGCAGGTCCTTCGGCGCCTTTCGCAGATTGCTCAACCTGCCCGGGATGGTTCTGCTCTCCCAGTCTTCCATTGCAGGCCGATCTGAGACATGGCTCACTACATCCCCTGCCCCCTCCTCGCGGCCTGGTGTCCCCTCGGACGAGCTGCTCGACGGCCCACTAGGGTGGTCGCCACTGTTGTCACTGGCGCTGGAACTGGTGCTGCTCTTAGACGCCATTGTTTCTGGCACATCCTGCAACTCCAGCGGCACTATCATTGTGATAGGCTCTACTGACAAAACCCCTTCCTCTTCTCCCTCTCTGCCCTGGTTACCTCGTTGCTCTGTAAGCTCTCTCAATGAAACCATTTTACCTGAAAATGATGCGAAGTTGATTCGGTGTACTGATTCTTCAAGCTGGAGCGTTTTTGCTTCAGAGAATTTTGGAAAGTTTAAGCAAACACAGAAATGAAAATGAAAGAGGAAACGGTTACGCAGAGAAGGATATGGTAGTGTTAATTGCCGTACGCGTGTTTCTGACGCGCCAACTAGCGTCCCACACATGGCAGGCACTTAAAGCCCCTCCTGCATAACGTGCGCCGGCTTTAGCTGTCACGTCCCTCAAATGCTGAGCCAGCATTTATGACGGGGAAGGCAAAGAGATATGGGAAGTTCAATCCTATCTCCTCAGAGATTTGCTTGACTCAAAAAATCCCAAGATCCAGATCGTAACTGCTGATGTGTACCCTATACTGTCACACCAGCTCACTATTGTGAGCATACTTACCAAGTCGTTACAAAGATGACATATTTGCCAGATCGGCTCAACTGTGCCAATTCATTCACAAGTGTAGGTTGTTTGCTAAAATCCCCCAAGATTCAGCTCGTCACATATCGTGACGACAACCACATTTGTCAGGTCGTTACATAGATTGCAACTCACACCAGGCCACAAACCTCTGCATAAATCAATGGGTGCCTGAGGTCGCCCTATCTGACAGCACTACTCGTGCAAGCTGATAAAGTGGTGGTCAAAAACCTCAAGTCCCACTGCATCTGAGGTCGCGTCGCCTCACCTCGTGATCATAGCTAACTAGGCGTCGCCTGGTCGCACTTTGGTAATACTCAAAGGTCAGGTCGCCACATGGACGAGCTGAAAGGGCATTGTATACATGGCTGGTCCCTGTGCGAGCTCGTCTGTTGCGAATCACTTCAGCCTATTGCCACCACAAGCCCACACTAGTGCGGCTAAGGATGTCAGCTCGCCTCTACGCTTTCAGACTCACGAGCTCGCCTCTTTTCGTATTACCTCTCAGCTCGGCCATCGCCAAGGTCGGCAGTAAGCTGTTAAAGCTACCCGTCATAGTCACCAGCTAGGACTTTGACCCCTGGTCCCCTGGTCACATCCATCCCAGTTCGTCAACCGAACACCGGGGGGGGGGAGTAATGTTGGAATAGGCCCAACAGGCCCAACGCCCAAACAGGGCTGTGCATAATGGGCCTAGGCTACCACCCATTAGCCCAAGCTGAAGGAGCATTAGTACAAGCGTACCCACGTGACCAATGCCACGTGGGTCAAGGGGATGCTCACACATGCAGATGTATGTCAGCACCAAGGGGCTATAAATACCCCCAAACTACCTCCGATGAAGGTAATTAATCTCTATGCTTCTCTCTCTGCAATTACTCCTTGAGAGCATCTCTCTCTAGAATATAGAGTATTGCTGACTTGAGCGTCGGAGTGTTTTCCCCGAGGAAACATCATCGGGATTTTCAGGTGTAGAAGCAGCTGAAGACTTCAACAGTGTTGGATTGTGAAGCTGCCCAAACAGTAAGAAATTGTTAAATTAGTGTTAATATCTGTTTTTTAGTATTCAGGAAAACTCGAATAGATGATCTCCACCTACTCTTTATAGAAGAGTGCGGCCCAATCAGTGAGCCGCATGAAAAGTTCTTCCAATGCACGTTTTGTTAAAAGATTTGTCTACCCCATGCTTTAAGATGTTAAAAATATAGTATTAATTAGATTTTTTATTAATTTATATAAAAATTATAAAAATTAATTTTATTTTTAACTTTAATAACACATAATTAATTTTAAGTAATTATTAAAATTAAAATTAATTTTTATTTTTTATAACAATTAATAAAAAAG